ACTGCTGAAATTCTCACTGACTTCTTTACTCCCAACTCTCTCCTGCCACATCACGGAATTTTATTTTAATAATGATTATAAATGCAGACCCCTCCGCACACATACCTCAGACATGCAAAACAATACAACAAGATTTCCAAGGAAATGCATTCCCTGAACAGACTGGAATCTATTGGTAAATTGCTTGTTGATAATATGAAATTAACAAGGATTGCTGACTCTCAGTGTGTTAATTCAGTAACAAAAGGGTATGCTCTCCTATCCAGTATGCACAAATTATATATATAGGCATCTATATTTGACTGGAATTTCCTTTGAAGTCCTCTTGAAGGACTTTCATCAAGGAAATACTGTAAGAGGGAATCACTCTGCCTTTTCTTTCTTTCTTTCTTTCTTTTTTTCTTTCTTTCTTTCTTTCTTTCTTTCTTTCTTTCTTTCTTTCTTTCTTTCTTTCTTTCTTTCTTTCTTCTTTTGGCCTTTCATAATTGGGATTTTTCTGCCTCCTGTATTTGACTATAGTGTGTCCATTCACTTATGTTGGATGAACTTGGACAGCAGTGTTTTATTCCATCACCTAAACAAAAACCCCAAAAGAAAGGGGATCAAAATCTGCAAGTTGAAGATAATCCTAATTTCTTGCCTACCTCACAGGTGCAGAAGGGAACTCGTCCACGTCCAAAATGTTTCGTCTTAGCCAAAGAAAACTGGCATGTGATGCTCTAATTTCGTATTCATCCATCTCCACATGACTGGCAGAGGGATGGGGAAAATGAAAAGGAGGGAGCCTGGAGCAACCGAGGTGGTTCAGAGAATGCATGTGGAGACTGGCTGCTCTAAAACACATCAGCATGTCACCCACTAGTACCTCGGCTGCCAACCTCACCATATGCACGGAAGGGACAGGAGTCTAGCCAACCTCTCAAGCCAACTGATGTAGCTTTCTTTGGATTCCCTTATCGCAGCCAAGACACTGAATATTCTCTTGCTAATGAGTATTCAGTGTATCTCATTCTCTATTTCTGCAAGGATTTGTTCTCCAGTGCCTTGGTTGCATTCCCACACCATCATAGTTACTAACCATCAGAGAAGGTTCCGGAGAACAATGGGACTGAGACATTTGCCAAGTTCTCAACACTGACTGGTCCAAAATACCTCAGTGTCAGCACGTAACTGATGAATGCCTGCACTGCCAATTATGGCATATGTTTAAAGGTCTAGCCAATCTAAAGGGTTCACCATTAGAAGCTGTATTCTAATGTTACGCAGGGCACATTGAAGCACCAATATATATATCAAGACAGATTCCATTACCTACTGCTTCTGGTGAATAAAGTGTCAGACTTGGGAAAGAGTTCTGGGTTCAGATCCAAACTCAGCCCTAAGCTCCCAGCCAATCATGAGACCAATCACTACATTTCAACCTGAGCAGTCTCACAGAATCATAAACTAATTGAGTTGGAAGGGGCCTATAAGACCATCAAGTCCAACCCTTCTGCTCAATGCAGGAATCCAAATCAAAGCAGAGCTGATAGATGGTTGTCCAATTTTCTTTTGTTTGTTAATAATGATTTGTTAATAATGGAATAGGCTATTAGGCTATGAATGACTTCAGTTGTCAATTATCTTCAAGGTAAAATAGCATAATTGACACAAGGGGGCAAACTGCTGACTTCCAGTTTGCCCCCTTGTGTCAGCTATGCTATAAGTCACCTTGTAGAGTGACAACTGAAATTATCCACAGCTTAGTAGCCTATTCCTTTACTAATGAACCATTGTCACTATGTCCATGATCTACATCCCAGCTTGGACCTGGGACCATTTATAAATATGGCTGTCATACAGCCTCACTCTTATGTCTGAGGAAGTGGAATTCATCCACAAAAGCTCACATTAAAATACAGCAGTTAGTCTTTAAGGTGTCACCGCTTTTTGTCTGTTTTGGGTTTTTTGTTTCATTGTTTGTTTCATTTTCTGATATACTTGTACTTAATATGGTTTGCCACACTGAGCCGTGGCTTGTGATGTCCGATAGTACGAAAGTATTTTCCACATGTGAGTGATGATGACAAGCTGGGAGGCCAAATACCAGCTGTGGGGCAGAGGAAAACATCAAGGATAGCAATGGATTCTTTTTTTGTGGTATTTTCAAAATCACATGGACTGCCACGGTGGGAGACAGGATTCCAAATCAGGAGGTCCTTTCTCTGATTTAGCCATGATTGTTGAATTTCAGAAGGGGGATTATTGTTGTTGTTTTTTAAATTCCAGTTCAAATTGACCTGACTCTCAACTTCTGAATCAGAATCAGATCCCAGCTATCAGAATTTATGTAGACCTACCTAAATATCCCAGCACTATTGTTCTCTGCTCATAAAATGTTTTGGAGAACATTTACACACTTGTGTTCTGACTACAGTGGTGTCTCGCATAGCGACGTTAATCTGTGCAAGAAAAATTGCTGCTAAGCGATTTCGTTGCTATGCGATTTTAAAAAGCCCATAGAAACGCATTGAAACCTGTTTAATGTGTTCCTATGGGCAAAAAACTGACCTTAAAGCGAAGATCCTCCATACGGCGTCCATTTTCGCTGCCTCTAAAGCGAGGAATCAGCGCGAAAACACAGCAGGCAGCCATTTTTTTCCTGGTGGCCATTTTGGAACCACCGATCAGCTGTTAAAAATCATCGCTTTGCAATGATCCGTAAGCGAAACAGGGAACCGATCATCGCAAAGCGAAAAAACCGCATAGGAAACATTGCAATGCGATCGCTTTGCGATTGCAAAAAGTTCATCGCTATGCGGTTTCGTCGCTAAACGGAGCGCCCGTTAAGCGAGGCACCACTGTATTCTGAAAGAAAATAGGTTTAGAGATGAAAATGTACATAAAAGAAAATAGCATTACTAAATGTGTAATATGACTTAAAATTCATTTCAAAATGCATATTTAAATACATACTGAAATGCAGATTAGATGCTTTTTTTTAACAACACAGCTTCATATAAACAAGACAAAGTGCCCTTATGAGTAAACACATGTGGAGGTGACAGAATGGATTGTTACTTAATTAGATCCAGCACAGATGAGAGGAGGAGGAGGTGGTGGTTCTATAATAACAAATCATCATCATCATCTTTGAATTGGTTCACTTTTTTTTCCTTATGTGGCTATATAGGAAAAAAGTATAACATCAAATCTAGTACACAAGCTTATTTAGGAAAAGGATGTAAACAAAGCTTCATACGGGAATATTGATTTCTATATATATTTACCAATTAAAAAGACTGTCCTGCTGCAAACCCCCTGGGGCTGCTGCATACACACAAAGAAAAATACAAAGGTGGGGAGGAAAACCATATCAAAATATATTAAATAGGAGATTTCTTGTACCTGGAATTAATTCTTCAATAGCTGCTCAACAACATGTATATGAAATAAATGCATAGAAATAGCCTTCCATTCCAGAGACAAACACAGATAGCAGTTTAGGTGGGAACATATTCACATCCACTAGTGCATAACTAACTCCTTACATTTGCATATAACTGCAGCACCACCATTTCCTGAATCAGTCTTTTTCTGATGATCTCGGCCTTCTCATGGTTTCTCCTGCCCATCACTGCAAGACACTGGGAAAGCAAATGGCTACTTCAAAGCGGAGGTGTTATGGACTTCTGTTGCTCGGTTAGGCTTTTATTCGGGATGTGCCATTCCTTTTCTCTTAAATTCCACCTCCCAGAATTTCCAGGCAGAATTCTGGGTGTTGCAGCCCATCCATCCACACATACAGCTACCAGCAATTTGCTCATCGGGAACAGGGCCTCGTACCTCCAAGTCTCTATAACTGCTTTGGGTCTTGTTTCTTATTATTATTTACGTACAAAAAAGTTATTGCTTGGGAATCGTAGTCTCAGAAGTCTTTATGCTCCATAGAAGGTACCTCCTAAAGAATGAGAAAAGCAAAAAGCAAAGCATGGTGCTTATATACTGACCCCAGGTGCTTAAAACACTCTCTGGGTGGTTTACAATTTAATTATGCAGGCTACACATTTCCCTCCAACAATTTATTTGCCTAAATTTGAGTCAACCTGAAGCTGGGTACCTGGGATTAAACCCAGGTTGTGAGCAGAGTTTGGGCTGCAGTACTGCAGTTTAACCACTGTGTCCCAAGGCTCAACTACGACTCCCAGGAATCATCATGTCAGGTTCCCCCCTTTTTTTAATTAAAGGAAGCAAAGCCTGAGACAACCATGCAGCCTTAGAGATATGCCCTACTTCAGATGAGCGAAGTGTGTGTGTGTGTTTGTGAGCTGCAATTCCAGAATTCTGCCTGGGGAATTATTGGAGAAGACTGGAATTTGGAGTACAAACAAACAAACAATAAATAAATAAAACAAAGCACCTCCCAAGCAATTGCTTCTATTACAAAAACTGCAAATGAAAAAAAAATAAAAGAAGAAAAAAACTGCAAAACAATGAGGGCCAGCAACTTGCCCAAGATATTTTAAGAAAGGAATGTGAAACTAGATTTCCGTTGGCTTGGTCTTCATTTAATTCCTACTATTTC